CAAGGAGTTGGTAATAAATTAACAACTATGATTTTTTTATTTTTGTCATTCAAAGGTACAAAGGCCTAGAGTCAAGATAGCAGTACAGAGGTATAAAGTCAAGCTAGAAAAAACATACAAATCTTGAAGCAGAGTAAATAAATGAAGACCAGACTCCAAATTTGTGGAGAAAACAGAGCCCAACACTATGCAAACGGAACCACCATGGGAGAACGCAGCAAACAAGAAAAATCGAAAGGTCTGACCATCAACATGGCAACAGCTCCAAAGTTACAACCACAAGGTGCTCCAACACCCAAGAAATCCCGCACAAGATCAAATCAAGGAGAAAAATATTAAATTGAAGCGAGGAAAACTAGAACTGACCTAGACTGGAGATTTAGTCGGAAAAAATAACAGATCTGCCCATGTGATCCGAAAACAAACCGAATATGAACAGATCTAACTGAACAAAACAAAAAACGACGTAAAAAAATACCCATATAGCGCACTTATTGAAACACGCCGAGTTTATTGCAGTCGTAGGAGGCAGCCTTCATCTCCCCACTCCTATGGAAGGGAGTAGGGAGGCAAAATGAAGAAGACGAAGCTGTTAGAGAAAGAAAGCTAGAAAGAGGAGGGAGAGAAAGTTGGGCGGCGATAATTTTTTCCACACATAATTAATTCTCTTAACTATATTTTTTAACAACTATGATTAACTAAGGTTAGCTAAGTCAGGCTAGGCTTGGCTAACTTAAACTAAAATTACACTATGTTAGATTAGATATAAGTTAGTGTGTTGTGCTCATCAAGGAGCTCATTATCCATGTTGACCCATTTTTTCTTGTAATAAATTAAATCTATATTTTTTTTTTCTTTTCATGGAGTGGTTTTTTTTTCCAATGGTGGTTGTAACCGTTTAGACATTTGTCTTATTAACTTAAAAATTTTAACAGTTAGATAAGGGCGTATATTTATAATTTGCCCATATATATGCCCAAATTATTTCCATTCAGATCTAACGTGGGATAAGTTTCATTAACAGCAGTCCACTTGAGATGTTTCCTTTCATTTTGAGCAACCACATGGCTGCCTAAAAAAATTGAGATTAACTATAATATAAAGAAAGGTTGGTTCTCAAATGTTGATAATTTAAAACAGAGTTTAGGAGAATAATAAAGACATTAACTTTATAATAAACTGAGGTATTCCTAAACCCACATATGAACCCGAACTTTCTAGTAAAGTTAAGTATCCCATGAACAATTATGTATCGAACCATCGTTTGTCAGAATCAAATTTGTCATTTGTAAATCAAATATCTGCTGTATCTATTCCTAACAGTGTGCAGGAAGCCTTACCTGACTTTAGGTGGAAAGCAGCTATGAACGAGGAGATGAAATCCTTACAGAAAAATGAAACTTGGGAACTCATTGATCCTCCACCAGGAAAGAAACCAGTTGGATGTCGATGGATTTACACTGTGAAGTATAAAGCCGATGGTACAGTTGAACGCTTTAAAGCAAGATTGGTGGCGAAAGGTTATACCCAAACCTATGGAATCGATTACACAGAGACGTTCGCACATGTAGCCAAAATCAACACAGTTCCGGTCTTGTTATCTTTAGCTGCGAACTTGGATTGGCCATTGCAACAATTCGATGTGAAGAATGCCTTTCTGCATGGTGAATTATCTAAAGAAGTCTACATGGATCTCCCACCAGGATGTATGATACCCAAAAAGTATAGTCGGAAGGTCTGCAGGTTAAAGAAATCATTATATGGGTTGAAACAATCTCCAAGAGCATGGTTTGGAAGATTCACAAAGTTTATGATATCCTTTGGCTACTGTCAAAGCAATTCAGACCACACGTTATTTCTGAAGAAACAACGTGGTAAGATCACTGCACTCATTGTATATGTAGATGACATGGTGGTTACAGGAAATGATCTTGAAGAAATGAAGGCTCTCAAGAAGTACTTGTCCAGAGAATTCGAAATGAAAGATCTAGGTTCTTTGAGATATTTTCTTGGGATTGAAGTATCTCGATCGAATAAAGGAATCTCTCTATCTCAAAGAAAATATGCCTTAGATCTATTACAAGAGACTGGCATGACAGCATGTCAACCAGCTGAGACACCAGTGGAAGAAGGACTGAAGTTATGTGTTGAGTCCAATCAAGTACCTACTAATAAAGGAAGATACCAAAGACTTGTAGGGAGATTGATATACTTAGCACACACGAGACCAGATTTGGCTTATGCATTGAGCATTGTTAGCCAGTTTATGCATGATCTTGGAGAGCAACATATGAATGCAGTTATGCACATTCTGAGGTATTTGAAATCTGCTCCTGGAAAAGGAATTTTGTTCACTAAAAATACTGGTATCAGAGCCAAAGGTGAAGGAGATCCAGAAAATACAAAAAGTCTCAACATATGCTACAACAGGCTTTAGTTGTAGGTGGAGTCAATTGGCTTGGTTACATGGCATGGAGCTTGAGTAGTCAAGGTAGAGCCTTGGAGTTTTGACTGATTGAGCAACGTATAGTGGGGATAATCCGAGTTTTGCAATAAGATCAAGAAGATTGAAGTGGCAAAGAATTGTCCAGATTCAATTGCAATGAGAAGCGATAATTGACGTAATGGAATTTGAGCCAAGGTGGAGATTGTTAGGAATTATGTCTCAAATTTTCATTATTATTAGTTTTTATTTTAGAGTGTATTTTTATGGTAATTTCTTATCGAGACGTGAATTGGGCTTTAAGAAATTGTAATCCTTGTCCACAAAGGAATTGGGTATGTGACTCTATAAATAAACACTTAGGCTATTATTGAGAGTTATGAGTTGAGAGAGATGTAACCTCATGAGGGGGTACGTTGATGGTAGGGGTGAGTTACGGGGTTGGTAGAGTGAACACTGATGCGAGAGGGAATCTTGTGGAGTACATGGAGAACTCGGTCAAGAGTTTGTATACATGGTCCGGTGTTGAAATTCTCTACTATTGTAATATCTCTATATATATAGTGAATCTCTTCTCATCCGTGGATGTAATCCTGATTTTGGGTGAACCACGTATATATCTTGTGTTGTGGTTTGAATTATTATTTTCTTTATTTCTTTTGCTTCTACTGTGCCCCAACAACTGGTATCAGAGATAGATGAAAGTTACTCATTTTTTGGACAATGACACCCCCTCTTTTGAAATTTCGGCCAAATAAGGCCTTAAGTCATATGAAAAGACAAAATTACCCCTCAATATTAAATTCAAATATATTACAAAATATCAGATCTTGCAAAATGACGCTATAACCCCTTATATATAAATACATATATATACACACACACGGAGAAAATGTTGGTACCTGGTAAAGCCGTGAAATTGGTTGCCACCGCCGTTGTTTGTGGCAACTGCAGTGGAGGGTGGTTGGAGGTTGAGTTTCTTAGAGGTGGGTTGTTGTTCTTGGAGAGACAACGACGCCGCACACCTCCCACACAACGAAAAGATCCAGTCAGAGAGGGTTGGGAGGTGAATCAAAGAGATCGGGTGTTGGGAGGCGAATCGGAGAGGATTGCGTGACCGTCATATGATGCGACGGTTAGTGTCGGTGGACAAAGACAGAAGAAACGAAGAGAACACCGGCGAAGGTGATTCGGAAAAGAGAAGAACAGGTCACCGGTTATGGTATAGGACTGTTTCGGCAACGGTTTAGAGATGTAGAGGCCGTTTGGACCATCCATGGCCTGAGGTCATGGGTTGATAGAGGCAAAAGCGATGGTAAGAGAGCTGGCGGCGAGTTCGGTGTCGCCGAGAGCTGGCGGCAGTAACGAGTAAGGATGTGTGTGGCAGCGGTGAAGAGGTTTGCATGTCCGGCAATGCTGAGCGCCGGTAGGTGCGACTAATGAACGAAAGCAAAGGCTGGTTTAATTGAGGACCTTGGGGTTGCGTGAATAGTGAAACGGTAACGCGAATGATTGAAACTTGGACCGCCGCCGGAGATGAGGCACTGCCGTAAAGTGGTGAAGAACCCAGCTGAGATTCGCTGGCGACGGCTGAAGAATTCGGCTAAGATCGCGAACAGCGGGCGATGGAAACTGAAAGATATGGGTTTTGACTTTTTTTTTTTTTTTTTTTTGAACAATTTGAAATTATATGCCGATATGGGTTTTGATATAGGTAATAGAATTTGAACTTCTGATTCTTGTAGATTTTGTAGTTTGCAGTTGCAGAGAGAGAGGGCAAGTTTAGAGTTGAGAACGAGAAGGCTGGAGGCAACGACAGACGCCTTGGTGGTGTTGACGATGCAGAGAGCAGTGGCTGAGAGGCAGCAAAGAGCAGCGGCAGAGAGGTACAGGGCTTTGGTGATGTTGACGATGTGGATAGCGGCAGAGGAGTGGCAAAGAGCAGCGCCGTCGGTTACGATGTTGTGATGTATGTGGTGTTATGATGAAGCATGGAACAGCGGTGGAGAAAGGACGGCAGTGAAGCTCGGTTGTGAAGAAGCGGTGAATTGGGGGATGATGATGGCTGCGGCGGCTGAGGGGTTCGTCCGGCGCGGATTATGTAGTGTGTGTGTGTATATATACACATACATACATATAAAGAGAAAGGGTTTGGGTTTGATCAAAGAGTATTTAAGTCAATTAAAATATCAATTTTATATCAAAGGGTAATAAAGTCAATTCACCATTATCAGGGTCTCTTTGTTCATTTTTCATCATTGTCCAAAAAATGAATAACTTTCACCTGTGTCCTTTGGCGGGGTGTGGTTGTATTTTAACTTTTTTTTTTTTTTTTTTTAAGAAAAAAGAAGAGATTAAAAGATTGGTGTATTTTGAAAAAAATTTACAACGTCGTTTACCTTAAACTTGTTCTAATGCAAACACTAGCCGCCACCGTGCCACGTGTATACAATACCATTGAAAAGGTCCCACTTGGGGTTTTCCGTAACTTCACAGTTCCGATACATCATACATGTGACCTCCATTTTTCATCTTCTCGTATTTTCGATATAATAGATATAAATTATACATATAGAGTCTCTCGATTCTCGTCTTTAACGATTATTATTCCATATAACAACGATCATTCTTCCGTATATAATATTGCACACAAACAAATACTATATACTCCTCTCTCAGTACCCAAACCCATCTCTCTCTCATAATGCTCACTTGTAACCACTACCCAGAGCCACGTTCAATCCACCAGCACTAACAGATGGGCAAGGCAGTACGGTGGTTTCGATCACTCCTAGGAATCAAAAAGGAGGACTCGCCGCCGCAACCGCCGCCGCCGGCGACAACTCGCTTAGAACCAAAGCCGGCGAAGAAGAGGTGGAGCTTCGTCAAATCGTACAGAGAAAAAGACCGCACAACAAAGTACAACACCGGCGACCACCGAAGAGCCTCGCACGGAGACGCAATTCCACACTCCGGTTCGTACGCCGCCGAAGACGGCGTTGATCCGAGCAGGCACGCCATAGCTGTGGCCGCCGCCACCGCCGCCGTGGCGGAGGCCGCAGTCGCGGCGGCGCAGGCGGCCGCAGCCGTGGTGAGGCTAACGAGCAGCGGGAGGTCGGCGCACGTTACCGGCGCCACCAGCACAGCGGCTTACGGTAGCAGCTTCAGTGAAGAGTGGGCCGCTGTTAAGATACAATCGCATTTCCGAGCTTATCTGGTTTGTATTCCGATCTCTCTTAAAATATTTTGTTATTATAATGCCCTATAATTTCGTTTAATTTTCGAAGATCATGGGTTAATCCGAGGGTAATACCGACTTTTCAACCCTAACAAAGATTCCGTACATATATACACATCTACAGAATTATTGATGTCAATAGACAAATATCGTCGGTGAGACTTGGAGTCTTTGGACTGACTGGTTTGCCATTGAACTAATTTGAAACCGCGTGGACTTTAAAATTACAATTTTCTTAGACAGAGTGGTTGGGATGGTATTTTCACCTTCTAAAAGGGTTAAAATTCAAGACTAGACTGTACTAGTGTACTTGGTGTTAATGTTAGTAGCTGTCTCGTTCATTTCGTTATTAAATTTCCTTTTATGGGTCATTTGGTTATATATGTGTTCTCAATATCTTCTCTCATTTTATTTCTGTTGATGTTATGTCACACAATGTGGTACTAGGAGGCTAAGGATCGACATTAAAAAAAGTCTGAAAATTAGCTTTAAAAAGTGGATTTGAGGTTTGATGCAATGCAACATTGTGTTTGTGGACTCAACATTACACTGATGAAATATGATGTAACTATTACATGTGTTGAAATAGTGTTAAATTGGAACTTGACATATTGTGCATTTAGACACAACATAGAACAAGTATGACCTGCTTATACATGTATGTATTTATACGTGTGTGTGTGTGTGTGTGTATATATATATATATATTTCATTGAACAAGTATGATGTATGATGTATGTGTGTGTGGAAATATTGTTAGATTGATACACCATGTGATGGGGTTTAATTGTTTTGTACTTGACATTTTCTTATAGTAAAAATTGGATGACCTAATATTATAGTTTGTTGAGCAATTGGGTAAATGGTGAGAGTATTAGGGTGTAGGGAATGGACCATGCCACCAAAAAGTTGGGGTGCTTGGTTTTGCCAATGGTTTCCCTTTAGAGAATCTTTACCTCTGTTTGGACAAAAAGTTGGGTTGGCTGAGCACTTCAATGTTTGCAAGTCAGAAGCTTTTCCTTTCTTTTATTGGACGGCTGGTGAGACGTCCTAGTCTACTTAAATGTCACACACTTTACTTTAGAACGAGGTTAGTGACAGAATTGATTTCTTCTAAGCGCCCTCTGAGTTTTGAAAATTTCATATTGGCAAGTGAATGGCCTTTCTTTTGGCGCCATTGTCAGAGATTCATTTATTTTTTATTATAATGAAAGTAGTTTTATTGGTTGGTTATTATGAGTTGATTCAGTTGTTCGTTTTTTATGTTAAATCTGAAGTCGAGGAGAGCACTGAGAGCATTGAAGGCACTTGTGAAGCTTCAGGCACTGGTAAGGGGTCACATTGTGAGGAAGCACACTGCGGATATGCTACGGCACTTGCAAGCACTATTACGTGCTCAAGCACGTGCACGTGCAGGGCGGGCCCAAGTTTCTGAATCCTCACATTCAAGCACCAAGTCCTCTCAATTCCTCCATCCTGTAAGCAAGTTTCACTTTTTCCCTCCATTATATGAATTTAAATTTCGTAGGTAGGAGTAGCATTTTTCACATATATCTTTTACTTACAAAGTTTATTCATTCTTTAATTTGCATGGTTCAACTTTCTTACAATAATTTCCTCAACACCATGCTTTGATTTCTCTGGATTTTTTTTTTTTTTTTTTTTTTTTAACGAGTCATTTTGGTGAATGATTTTAGAAGTATATGAAAGACATATTATAACTTACTTCTGATTTTCTTTTTTCTTTTTCCCCTTGTGAAGTGATAAACATGAATCTAGTTGCATCAATTAGTTCAGTTTGGTAACCTAGTATCTCTTTCGTGTACAGGGCCCTCCAACCCCTGAAAAATCTGAACATGCCACAAGAGCAAAGAGTACAAAACATGACCAGTCATTCGTGCTCAAGGTTCGTGCCAGACCTTTTCATTTCATGGTTTTGTATATTATGATTTATGGCTGAATGCATTCCTTCTTCCTGATTAAATGCAGAGAAATCGATCGAAATCGAATGGGAGATTGGTCATTGATCAGGAGAAGGCTTGCAGTGATTGGAACTGGTTCGTTGAAGGATCAAGGGAAAAAACCAAGTCTTCAATGAAAACTGGCCCGATAGATGATGAAAGGATTGACAAAATACTTGAGATTGATAACGGGAAACAGCACTTTGCCCCCAAAAGTAGAAACGAGTTGAAATATTCTCATCATGCTTTTGCTTCAGATCAAATTAGTCATAGCTTTAACACTTCAAAAGACTCAACTAACCTTCAAACCGTGCCAAGTCCTTCCTCTTGCGAAGTTCAATCATTCAGCCCTTTGAAATTACCTCAAGATGTTGAGGAATGCTCTTTCTGCACTGCTGATAACAGCCCGCAATTCTACTCTGCTTCATCGAGGGGCGGCAGTTCTAGGAGAGGCCCATTCACTCCCACTAAGAGTGACGGCTCAAGAAGCTACCTAAGCGGTTACTCAGACCACCCAAACTACATGGCTTGCACTGAATCTTCACGGGCTAAGGTGAGGTCACTTAGCGCTCCAAAGCAAAGGCCCCAATTCGAGAGGACTAGTTCAACGATGAGGTATTCAATTCATGGGTATGGTGATTCGAGATCAACCACTCAAAAGATATCTGCCTTGCATGCCAGCTTCACTAGTAAAGCTTATCCCGGATCTGGTCGCTTGGATAGACTTGGAATGCCTGTGAGAAGCGATGCTAACGGGTACAACGCTGGTCACTGGAACAGATTTTAAGGGTTCTGCAATTGGGGTCCTTTTTCTGTTATCAAAGGTAAGTTTTCTGTTTATGTTTTAGAGGCTAATCTGAAAGCTAACTGAGTATTTAAAACTCTTAACGGTGCTGCTTATCTACTCTGTGACTTGAAACTATTGTAGCTCAAACATTTAAAAGCACCACTAAAGAGATTATGCATGAAAGAGTTGGAAATATGATATGGTTTTTGACTTGCAATTAATTGTCCACACACACACACAGACATGATGGGTGCGAAGCATTTAGTATGATGTATTTACATACATATATATATATATATAGAAATATTGATTAAACATTTAGGTGGTTGAGCTCCATGTCTTAGCAGAGAAATTGGGACCCGTCTACTAAAAGCACTCCACCAGCTTCCACTATAATTTGAACCTTCTGTATGTTGGGGAGGGAAGTTTGAAGAATTAGTTTCAGTTGTGAGTTGAATCATCAAAAGGGAAATATATTTGTCATTCATAGTCCATAAACTAGGTGCTTATTAACACTATATCATGAATGGTTGAGAGTTGAAAAGAATAATCATAGACATGGCCAAAGGGAAGCTGTATGTAGGGGCAGGCTTCACTCCTAAACCTCTTGTTTATGGGTAGGATTTAAGTTACATAATTCTTTTAAATGGGTGCCGCTTTTGCCCTCCGCGCACTCTCTTGCTGTCATTTCTTCCCAACTTAAATTTTTGCCGCTCCAGCTCGCACACTTGTTCCCACACCCGCATTATGTGGCATTATGTGACTTAACGAATGACAAGTTCTCCTTGTATTAAATACCGTCATTTTAGTAGTTATTTTATTAAATTATAGGCAATGTTCAAATTAATTGAAAGCAGAGAAGTGATTGATCTGTCAACTGTCACTTGTCCTCATAAATTATGGAGGAAATTTTAAGTTAAGAGGGTGGTAGAGATGGATCTAAATTCTATAGACGACCGGCAACTAATATAAGATGAAAAAAAAAAGGCGTGGTATCAATCAATGGTTGTTAAAAGACAAATGAGATGTGGTCTCTGCATTAAATTACATTCATACTGATTTTTTATTTTTTAAAATTAAGAGAATGGCACAATAATCCAACAAAAGTATTGAGAGTATCTTTTAATATTAGGGATAGTGAGATCATTTTTTAGGGGGCTAATATATATATATATAAAAGAAATGAAGTACAACACAAGGTAGTATAAAATCTTTTCAAATCAAGATATTACTACTTAATTTTTGTTGAATTAATTTTGTAAAATTCAAGAGGACAACACTTATTATGGAATGCAGGTAGTATTAATTTATTGTTTCATAACACTTATTATGGATCCGAAGTCTCTGTGTGTGTCATGCTTTCATGTACAAATCGGATGGACAATATCATACCACTTTATCGTCACCAAAAAGTTCGTCATTTTAGAAAAACTGTATTAACTTCTAAAAAGTGATATATAGTAATTTTTATTATTTTTTATTTTTTATTTTTATGTAAAAGATTATTTCATCTCTCATGGTTAAATCCGAACGTACATATTTACGTAAAAATAAAAAAACTTCACACCTTTGCATAATATACATTGAAAATCCAACACCATTAGCGATAGTTGCAACGACCTTTACATCAATACTTGGGAAAAGAAAAAGAAAAAGAAACAAAAATAAAAAATAAAAAATTGCATTGTTGCGTGCAAACTTTCACACTGAACATTCAACTTCTTTACATTGTAAATGTAACAGCTTTACATCATTCAAGCAATCCCCTTTGCATTGTGCGTGCAACACCAACACTCTTTATAAACGCAAAGTTAATTTGTCTCTGAAATCTCTAACCAGATTTATAAAAATAAAAAAATAAAAAAAAATAAAAAAAAAGGGGAGGAGACGAGAGGAGAGGAGACGAGAGAAAGAAAGAAGATATTAAATCTTCTTATAAACAGAAGATATTAAAAAAGAAGAGATTGTAGAGGGAAACAGAAGATATTAATGTGAGAAAAGGAAAGTATACAGAGAAGGAAGAGAGTGAGAGACCGAGAAGAAAAAAAAAAATTGTAGTGAAATTTTGGGTTGAATGACAAGTTCAGTTAATGTATTTTTAAAACCCTCATTATCGAGTTCTGCGAGATCTGATAAACAAACTCTTCTTCAAAATTTGATCAAGTAATCTATCATCTGTTCGTTAGAGTTGTCTATTCCTCTCCACATAGAGGTTCTTTGTTCATCAAAGTTTGGAATTCTCTCCAAAAGTGTGTTTTAGGAGATAGCTGTCATCCACAATCCCGAAAGAAGCTTATATTATTTGTCTGGATGGATGGATTCTTGTGTGATTCTGCTCGTCTCCTGGGCAATTTGGAACGGTGGCACACTTGATGTCCTTTGTTTGACGATATTTCTATTCGATTAAGGTATTTTTATCCTTTTTCTTGGTTCGTTTTTTGAATCTAGTGTTCTATGTCTGTTTCCATACAAAAGTCTACCCTCTCTTAGTATCCTTGTATCTCAGACAAGCGGACCGAGCACAGTCACCGAACGATATGTTATCTTTTTTATCAAGTTCGCCGGATTCGGTTCCCTGTGAACACAAATGCTTCGAGATATTGTATAGGCAGGCAGTAACGACGTCATCACTGGTGCTGCTTACGTTGCATGACTGGTGTATCGTGTTTCCTTTTTGGACCACATACTACTAGAAGGTTCTACTATGGGTTTGCTGGGCCACTGGACATTGGGCCTTATGGTTCACCCTATTGGCATATTCTTGATTTTTATCTCCATTCCAATAGTGGTCTTGGGCCAAGGTGCAAATATTAACCCATTGACTTATTGGGTTGACTCTATTGAGCCCACTTCTCTAGTGGGTTATGTCCCTTATTCAACCCTTGTGTGAGAGGATATAGTAAGAGACCATTTGGTGGAGTTGAATTTATGTCATGGGTATTGGACTACTCTTGAAGCTAAATTCCAATGTGCTCAACTTGCTGTCAGATTTTCGCAGCTTACAATGACTTAAGTTTGGCAACCGCCTTGGCTGGGTATGGTGAAAGGTCCAGTGGATATTGGTGGTCTAGTGCAAAACTTGGCTCGAGGAGAAGGGAATGAATTTGGAGCTCCTGAAAGCATCACTCTTGCTATAATATATTGGCTTCATCTCGCTTTGTTTTTAATTATTTGCTATCGAGCAAGTTCTGTTGGCCAGGCTAATATCAAAGTCTCAGGAATTGACCTCATGTATGCTATGTTTGTTGAATATTTGTATGTTGATATCCTTACAGTAGCTAAGGAAGGCTTATGTAATCTTGTTATGTAATGGTGTTTTGGTTGCTAAAAAAAAAAAAAAAAAAAAAAAAGAAAAAGAAAAAGAAAAAAGGTATTTTTAAAAGGCAATAAAATAATAAGTTAATAACCTGGATGAACAGAGTCTTGTATTGTGTAACACCTAATACAACCACATTTTTGTTTTTTATTCAGATAATGCGACCACATTTCACATGCAGAGAAAAGCACAGTTAAAATTTGTACCCGACATGAGCAACATTATTGTTCTTATTAAGAACTTAAATGAAAAGTCTATGGATTATTGTCCGTGATCCAAAACAGTCGAAAAAAGAGGAGGGTGTCTGTGTCGGACCTACCACTGACAATCATGATCCGAGTGAATGTCCCACTAACCTTTTTAGAATACCCCCATTGAAGCCAGGGCAGTGAATCTCGTGCCAGAGTGGGCTGACCAATATTAGTATTGAATTGGGCTGAGTTTCAGTGGCCTCGGTGGAGTTCAGCCCCACTCACCTTGTGTTGATATCGAGTGAATCAGACATGCGGGCTTGGCATATCCAATCAATCATCATACACAGTTCAATTAAATTGATCTTACTTATACATAAAAATTGCTCTTGATCAATTAAAATGGTGTATTTTGACTGACTGGGCACATCAATAACATGATATGTCTGGCTCCCTTAATATCTTCTCCATCACCATGATACTAGTCATGTTATCCAACGATGTTTGACTCTAGCCTTGTCATCCTACACCGTGGACACCCCATTACAGCATGTTTGGAGATGGAATTAGAACCTTAAAATTCAAGGTCTAATACTACCAAACATAGCATAACCTTTTTTCTTTTTTTTTTTCCCCCAAATTAGTAGGAATTAGACTCTCACTTTAATACACAGCTATTTTGAAATTTTCATTACCAAAAACTTCATCATCATAATCAATGGGTCAATGGCCCAACAGACTTCAACTTTCCAAAAGGAGGTTAGCAGTTTGAGCCTCGGTGGAAGCATGTGTGTATAAGTACCACCAATTAAAAAGGAAAACAAAAAAACAAAAAAAACAAAAAAAAAAAAAAACCTTGGATCATACCCTGATCAAGCAAAAGCCATCTAAGTGTCATGCCATGCCATTGGAGGACCCTGATCAAGCAAAAGCCACCCAAGTGTCATGCCATGCCATTGGAGGACCCTGATCAAGCAAAAGCCACCCAAGTGTCATGCCATGCCATTGGAGGACCCTGATCAAGCAAAATCCATCCAAGTGTCATGACATGCCATTGGAGGACCCTAATCAAGCAAAAGCCACCTAAGTGTCATGCCATGCCATTGGAGGTTATGCCATGTAAGCGACACACACTTGGATATGACGACTGCATGTCAAGAGGAGTTTTTGTAATCTTCCGGAGTATTGTATAATTTTGTGAAAGATTCTAGACTTAGAATGTCGTAGATATTTGAATTAGCGAGTGGAAGTGTAGCAAACGTGGGAGATTAATTCCAGAAAATCATATCCACTAGCCAGTAGCCATCCATTAAGGATGGGATGACTATAAATAAGAGACAAGACTCCCTCTCTAGCCATCAAGTCCTAGAGTGAGCTTGACAGCTTGTAGGTAGAGTAAGCAAGTGCCAGTGTGCAAGCAAGAGTGCGTGGTCGAGTCACACTAGAGGAGCAAAGATCGGCTAGCCCGTAATATAAGACTATCCAAATGAAGCACAAACTAAAAGTTGCCCAAAAATGAAAAGAACAAAATAATTCCAAGGAAATGGTAATTAGTATTAGTAATGGGAAGATATCCATGTAAGTTTATATAAGAAAACCTTTTTTTGATGTCCAAACAGAACAAAAGCAGTTTCTAGAAACTATGCATATACACAATCGCATACCAATGAAATAATCATATAAAAAATAATTCGAAAGAGAGAGAAAATAATCAGATAGAGATGAAGGCCACAAATGAAAATGAAATCTGCTGCGAACTCTCTGATCAATTATTACATTTCCATCTTGAAGTAGGCACGCAGCTTAGGTAATGGCACCAGCTGCATTTGTCGTTTGCATTCTCTCCTCTAAAAAGCATCACCAATCCAACAGTAAATCTGCAATAATTGGCACCCATAAGAAATGGAAATTCTATCCGTCCCAAAAATAGGAGTTCATCACATTATAAAATTCCAGAAGAAAATGAATTTTCCATTTTGTTCTAATTAACAACCAAATAGGGTAAGAATATGGTAGGAAGTCAAATCATGTTCTGTTTTTCAAAGCATTTGAAATGGAACCATATTTCCAAACAGTGAAATTTCTATGAGCATTAGATAAATGAAGAGCCTTGAAATGCTGGAATTATATTTCTAAAAAGGCACGCTAATGCAAGAGAGAGAGAGAGCCGAGTCGATAAGACTTACCCAAGAACCAGTAAAACAAGTGCAACCACCCAATATACATATTGGTAAACAGTGTACTTGGACTTCACAGTAGCATTGGCTGGAAGATGCCGGCGCTCCAACCAACCAAATTGGGGACGGGGTAGCAATATAAAGCCGAGGAGGAAACCAGACATGAATCCTCCAATGTGTGCAAAGTTGTCAACATGAGGAAGAATTCCAACTGCTAAGTTAATAACAATGATGACCACAAGTGTAAACAGAGCTGCAGCCTACAATAGCAAGAAAGGAGGAAATATCAAATTAATATAAATTAACTAATTCCTTCAAACTCACAAAGTCACAGATTGAACAAAATAATTAAACATAACAAAGAATTTAGACACATTTAAAACAATATGAACCACTACTCTATGCTACAACCACCAATTTTGTTAGTTTATCTTTCAGCAAATAGGAAATAAAATTATTCTGTGAATTATAATTATTATTTTTCCCTAGTTGATAGTCATACACCCCTAGATTCTGTGAATTTTATTATAACATCCTCCACAAGGAGTCATGAACCCTTGAGACTATCTGAGAGCCACTACAAAGAGGACTGGAACCAAACGCCGAGAGCTTTATATTGGCTTCTCACAGGTTAATTTAATACACTAGATCCATGCTTCCTTGTGATGGACCCAAGGTTGATCTTTTCCTAAATATTCTTAGAACGAAAAGAAATTGAGCACTGGAGAAAAATAAAGTACCAGCAGTATTCACCTTATTGGTATAAATAGTCCAGTTAGTAAGAAGCTCCGATAACATTGCACCAAGAAGCCCAAATAGAGCACCAGAAGCACCAACAGAGATGCTACGTTGAATGAAAAGAGAAGATAGTATGCTCCCGCCAAATCCTGATAACAGGTAGATTAACCCAACCCGCACTGCCAGATTACAAAGAAAATGAAAAAGTAAATAGTAGAAGAAGGGATCCAGGATTATCATAACAAAGTTATCAGCACAACAATGATGCAGGGATAACAACTCAATGATACAAGGGTATTCCGAATCTCCAAGACATCAATGGAGAATAAATAAATTCCATGTTGAATTAATTTCAGAGTACAGAGGAATCCTACTAAGGGAAGCCATTGATGCTGTGTTCGGGAGCACCGAATCGGCACTTTGAATTTAGAATTGAAAGAAATTTAATTCAAATTTTAAACTAAAAGCCCTCCAATTCTAAATCCAAGGTGCCAATTCAGTGCTACCAAACGGAGCATGAAAGTAAAAAATTGTCAGTGTTTTCACCACTTTATATCCTAAAAAATAAAACTTAACAATATTATATACTACAGGGAAAAAACAAGAGTGGCATTCCAAGGCTCGAGGAATGATTCCATTCCCATAGGATATCAGAAGTCCAAAACCCACCAAAATCTTGGCTCTTCAACAAGAAACAATGGCAAACATATAAAACTTATTCATATGAATATAAGGGGCACTTTTAGAACCTGGCAACAAGAAATAGTGTAACATACCAAACCCAAATTGCTGTTCAAGGCGAATCCCAATGAACACCAAGCTCAACATGTTTGCAAGTAAATGAATAACACCAGCATGCAACCAGATACAAGTGATAAGTCTCCATGTTTGATCTCCATGAACTACCTTGTTCCATTCTAGAGCTCCCAGTTTTTCCAATCTGCACAAAATGGGTACAAATAAAGTTAAGATTACCAGAATTATCCTTTTCTATGCTTGCATCTTGGCTGGAAAAAAAAAAACAATAATTAGTTGCACACAAACAGTGAACCATGGCCTGAATTTTAAGCAATTCAGTTCCTGTAGGTATATTATCTTTTCCTCTGCAAGGGTGGTAGTACCATGACTAAAATCTGTGGTTCATATTCTTTATATTAAACTAAATCCTTGGTATAATCGCTTGCATTTCAGCTAGTTTACTGGTAAAACAACTAGAATCATATCAACATATGCTATATTACGTACATAAGCTACTAAACTTTGACACAAGACTGTGTTCAATAAAAATCTCAATTTTTTTCTGAAACAACATGCAAACTTCCAAACACATTTGCATCTGACCTTAATTTATTAGGAATCAGGTTTACAACAGAAAATAAGATATAAAACCAAGTTCAGGCCTCCACGGGCTTTTTATGGTTAACCAGTGAAACCATTCCCATCCAATGCAATCAGCTTAAGAGTAATAAGAGACTATTTGACGGTTCAGATCATCTTAAATTTTTACTAAAAACGAAAAATCATAACTGAATCCAGCAATGGAGTGTATATAAGCAGCTGATAGATGCTCTAGTCCATTAATGACAAACTTGTTAAAGGAACAAAGAGAATCAGTCTTGTATAATCGAAAATATAAATAAAGCATATTTAACGGCCCATTGAAATGAAAACAAACAACATAAAGAAAGACTCATAACTAAAATGAACAAGTCTAGCAGAAATTACTGCTTTAATCAATTCCTTGCAAATTTCCATTTCAACATGTTAAGTTAAAAATAAAATGAAAATACAGAAGCCAAGAAGCCCCAAATTATTAGAGGATCTCAATCAATGTATTTAATCTAAACCAGTTCAAATCAACATGACATAGCAAAACAGTTAGTAACCCATCCCATCCAAATCCCCATTAAATTTCTAAGTCACCATCCAAATCGTTGTTATGTTTCTCATTAGCAAATATGGCTAGAGATTGGCAGATTTCTAGTAGTACTTCATAATTTTAATACTAAAAGCATGAACCTTTTTCCCATTCTTCTTCTTCCTTTTTCCTTTTTCTCGATAAGAAGAATAATTAAAGGATATGTAAAGGCATGAAATTTCAGAACTCCACAAGCGAAACTCAACAAGAAGATCCTTAATCAGTGAATTAAAACACAAACTAGTTCAAAAACAACAATTCCAACATATACAGTTTCATATTATATTAAAAATCCATACTAAATACTCCAAATCAGTGAATCAAGCCCTACCCAGATCAAAACAAGAACACATAACAAGAATTCAGAGATTGTGATTAGAAAAACAATAAATTTCAACAGAAAAATATTGCTATAAAGCTTCAAAGAAAAACACATACATATATTAAAAAAAAAAAAAAAAAAAACCACAAGCACAGATAGAACACTCTCAATCAATAAATCAATCCTAATTAAATTAAATAACACAAATTGAGAGATCAAAATATGCACAAGAACAAGAAATTCCCAAAACCCAGATTCATGAAAGGACTCCAATCGATAAAAACTAAGCTCTAAAATCAAAACAAAAAATCAATTGACAGAGAGCTAAGAAATGGGTGTGAAAGAAACATTACGTTGAAGAAGATGGGCCAAAGAGAGGGTTGTCTCTGAGAGGCTCAAAAGATAATCTCCCAAGAAACTTAGCCACGCAATCACGTTCGAAGTTGTTCTTGGGGCAATTATTAACATACATGATAACCACGAACATAGCAATATTGGCCACCACAATCATAGGGACCAACCATGAAGTCCATTGAGTTTCTTTGGACTCTACATAGTATGGAGAAGATGTTGGTGGGTAGGTGTTGTTGCCTCTGCTCTTCGTGCCTGCTCTGCTCTCCAGATCTCCACTCGCCATTCTATCTTCTCTCGCTCGAATTGAAATCTCAGACAATATATATATATATATACACGCACAGAGAGAGATTAATATATGTATTTATGTGAAAAATCAAGAAGCCCAAGTTAAGAAGTGTCTTGGAAGGAAGTGGGTGAAGCCTTCAATTGAATGCAACGATGGTTGGAGTTGGAGAGGGGGGTTTTTACAGAAAGAGAGAGAGAGTGTGTGTTTTAGAGGAGGCTACGGATTCAACCGTCGAAATCATTAATTAAATGGTAACTCTGTGGTGAGATTCAGTTGCTTGTCTATTGTAACGTTAGGTGCTGTGGATGTGTAAAGTTACCTCACCTTCCAGTGTTTTTCTTCAACAAAAATGTATTAAAAATATTTATTAAAAACATCATCATTATTATTATTATTATTATTATTATTATTATTGTTGTTTTTTGTGAGCATTGTAGACACTTTTAGTTGTGAGTTTCGATCACACATTTTTCTTTCTGTCAATTAAAAAAATTAGACAAATCCTTCTTATGTTATAGGCGAAATGGTATTTCTGTGTAATTTTACAAAAAATAAGAGGGAAAATATGTAACGTAAACAAATCTTGAAGAAGGTGCTGTAATTATTCCCAAAAAATATATATATATATATATATGGAAGTTAAATAAGTAGTGAAAATGAATCACACCTTCAGAAAATAATAATAATAGTAACAATAATGAATTCTTTGAAATTCATCTAATCGGCATGAAATCATCTTCAAATTTTTTACTACATAATAATAACTATAACCTAAGATATGATCTTGGGACTCAAAATAATAATAATAAATAAATAAAAATAAAAAATGATGAATTGAGACCCTTAATTCTCAATTTCATGTATCCTAAAAAATGGGAGTGCTCCACAATCTCATTAATCTGTCAATATTATTTGAGATATGATATTAACTATACTTCTTAAATAATGAATTATATATTTTTTTAAGAGATTATTACATATAAATAGTGCTAATAATATATATTTATTATTTAATAAAGTCAAAGTCTTGTAATTTCAAAAAAATCAAGTTGATCAAAATATTGGCGTGAACATAAAAAAAAACACTGTTTACCCTCATTGAAGTACCACTTATAGGCACATAGGTACTACTTTTTGTGCATAAATATACCATTTTTTGTGCATCAAGTATCACTTTTTGTGCAACCCAAAAAGTGATACTAACGTCAAAAAAAAGTACCTGAATGCACAAAAAGTGAATACTTATGTGCCTAAAAGTGGTATCTTAGTAAAGGTAAACAATATTTTTTCACATTTTTATTTTTTGAAACTATGAAACTTTTAGTCCATCAAATAATAAATATGAGACATTAACACTATTTATATATAATAATTATTTTTTAAAAAAAATCTTTCTTAAATAAAATACCAAAAAGTGTACCCAATCTTATTCTTTTATCATGAATCTATGAATAATAATGTGGTTTTATTTAAAAGTGAAGTAAGTTTATAAAAATGTATGGTGTAAACATCATCATGGTCCTATAATTGTCCTATATAAGTGTACCCAATTTTTTAGGATAAGTTTCACATATTGATATATAATAAACCGCGTAGCTCTTGCCAAATGGCAATTAGGTCCGCATCCTATATGACAGCTAATTTCAATCTACCGTAATGTTTGATTCAATTGCAGACCATGATTCAGGACACAATCCAGCAAATCATTGGCTCAAAACACGTTTAGTCAGTCATTGTTTGACTTTTTTATTTAAGCCCTCTTGTTTAAACTTACTTACCAAAATCCTCGGCGTTATCGGATGGGCTAGATGTCTACTGGTTAATTAATGTTTAGACAATATTAAAATGTAACGCTATCTATAAATTGTTTTTTCAAAGATTAAATTGATGTTTGATTATGATGATCTATCAAACTTGACAATGCAAATTCATTCAAATTGTGAATTTATGTAAAGCATGCTAAAGTTTATAATTATATTAATTTTGCTTTGTGAATACCTTAGATGATGATAAATTATAACGGAATCTATTTTTTTTTCACATTTCATCCCTTTAAAAAATTTGAATTTTATATCTTCACATCATAAAAAAAACTAAAATATTACTAATACTTGTGTTATTTAAAATGACATGATTTAACATTCATCTAATTGTTCATCTTATTTAGAACAATAATTTTCAAAGTTAACTACTTTCTACATTGTCATAAATGGGTTAATGAGAGTTTGACATATGATATTTTTAAATTTTAAAATCAAACACATCGGGTAATAAAATAATAAATAAGAAAAATTTTAAAAGTGATTATTTTTAGCTTTTTCATTATTAATAATTTGTTTAGTTGGAGGGGTGGAAGGTAGATGGAGGAGGATGGATGAGACATATTTAAAAAATAATGTGTTAAATATTAAAAATTTAAAAAAAAATAGAAATTTGGTATTACTAAGTCACTAATCTATTGATTAATTAATCAACTTACGCTCTTATTTTTTATACAAAATTAACTCTTTTTTTTCAAATTTAAACATCAATCAAAGTTTTTGTTATTCTACCAAACAACGACCCCTTACCTATGAAATATACTTTGTTTATGTTTTTTTGGAAAGGAGGGCACACATAAAGGACCGAAGTCTCTATGTTTGGACCTCGAAATGTGAATTTGTAAAACAAAAACACGTTTTGTAAACGGGGCGTTGTCGTTTTTGTTTGGGCTTGAAGTGCGTTAGGTCCACACGTTTTCTACGTATGAAAGGAAAATAATTAATCGTAAGTGTATAAATTATGATGTTGATAATAGAGACAAATGGAAGCCAATGAGCATATTAGCGTATACTATATATATAATTTGAACGAAAAGGGGGATGGAAAAAGGTGGCTTTGTGAACAGAATGAATTTGGGTGTTGCGTTGCATTGGATTGCACTATCCTCGCCGTTTGGTCGGTTGGTCCTACGGTCCTACCTTTTATAAGACAATCTTACACTTTTACCTTTTTAACCCATCCTCTAACATCATTTTCAATTTGATGATTCTTTACACGAAGTTGCTAAGAGGCAAAAGCTATTCTCAATTAGGGGCATAATTGGATCTAACAAAACACCATAGCATAATGCCTAAACATCATACTCCAGCAAAGCATAGCGGATTTGTGATTAGATTATAGAACAATTTCATCATTTCATTTTTATTTATTTATTATATAGTTGGACTACTCTAGCTCTAATCATATGCATGTCACACGGACAGAAGTTCATTGACACATAAAGTGTAGCAACTTTGTGAGCGGGTGTAAGGCACTAAGCAGACTTTTATACTTAACGAATTATAGGTGCACACTTTTATATAATTTGAATTAAAAAAAGATAAAGTATTTATATGTGGTGGTGTTATGTCTAATTGGTATGAGAACTTTTGGAATAAAGCCTTATAATAAAATTATACAGACTTTGATTCAAAACGAATAATATCATACCATATGATAAAGTATGTCGTTACATAACATAAAGCTTTACAATAAACATTTTCACATTACAAAGAGCTAAACAAAGTAACAAACACTCATCTTCAGTAGTCATTCAAGAAACATATTCCACTTAAATAAATAAAATAAAGAATGCATAAGTGCTTTCTTTCTAGCACACAAATTGACCAATTTTTATAAAATGATAATTTTGTTATTTCATTTTATAAAAAGATAATAGAGTAAATTACACACGATTTACATAAGTTTTCAGACTAACAAATATTTGTAATGTAATATATTATTATAATATAATGCTATTACTAATTTTTCACACTCAAAATCTCCTTCCAATGTCTAACAAACAAATTTAGGGGAAGTCAAAGTAAACCGTTGAATGATCTATTCATGTATAATTTGTTCAAACTTTAAGGTAGGTCAGTATAATATACCCTTATATATATATAAAACAATTACAAAAACAGGTGAAAACAATTTTGGAATCTGAAAATAGGAAGCAAAGAGAAAAAAAAAAATTATAAGGAATTCCCTTTTATTTCAAAAATTGTAAGAAAATAATTATGGAGAAGATAAAAGAGAAAATTTTAATAATATATCCTGAAAAACTTAATTATCCTCATAATTTTTTTTTAGAAAAATAGAGTATATTATGATGAAAGTAAATTGAAATTTTTACAAACGTACTTGCGGTGATGAAATGCCTATTTTATATAGAGATTACCGATTTTTGAGTGACAGATCATTTATTAGTAAATTTACATCCACAAAATCTCTGAAAAAACCATGAAATTAGTGAATCTCTGGATTGGCCAAAACTTAGGAATCCATTATTTGACATTATTTGAATCTTTGATAGACTCTGGCATATATGCTTACATTCTTTCGTATCGATATAACCAAACACAAGGTTAAGAAATGCTTACCATTTTTGCATGAGTAAATGACAACAAACCTAGTCCATCAATGTACCCTCCATCCACTAGAAGCACCAGAACATGCCACTTTTAACCATAAAATTAAAAAGACGAAAATTAAAAGTTTGTAGGGTTTTTATTTAGTAACTTTTTAATGTCATCTTGACCTATAAATTAAATTTGGATTAATTAGTCTTACATTTTTGGGTAGCTTACAATTCAAAACTATATGCATACAACTAATTCAAACCTCTTTATTTAAGCACATGGATGCGTAGAGTTAGATATTTGCAAATATAAAAGTTTTTCTTGCCTACCCCATAATTTAAAAAGAAAAGAAAAATAAAGTAATGGTTATTAAGATGCGTGTGGGAAGGATTTTAAGATGCATATAGACATCATTAATTAGGTAAGGAAAATCATTTTGTTGGTCTTTCTTTGTATAGACATTTGAAAAGGGTAATTTTTGTCTTCTATCCATTTCAAACTGAACATAATCTGTATTGTATGTATTGGGGTGTGAATACTTTAACAACTACTTTGTGTGTTTGTGTGTGTGTGTGTGTGTGTGTGTGTGTGTGTGTGTGAGCTGCTGGCGAATTTGGTTGGTGGAGGCAATTGCTTGGACGCAACTCTTAAATACCCAAGGAAATGAGGGAGCTTCAAATTCAAGTTTTGATAAAGGGAACTGTTTTATTAACTGATTTAGCATGGGCTCAAACTAACTTGAAGGTACATATTTACCAACACTATTCATATTGTTGTCAATGGGCACATTTCCATGAAATTCAATGGTAAGATCAGGAACGGACCAAATAATTATGTGCGCGGCTTTTAATAAATTTTTTTTTTA